TAATAACATCAATAATGAAAAATTACAAAAATAAAATTTAATTTATTTTAAAAGTATGGCAATCTACATACTCCTATTATACGTTATCTCTTATTTCTCAAATCACTCCGAAAATACTAACACCCTCACGCTAGGGAAAGGCCGGTATCGTGAGGGTTTTATACTGAGCGAGAACAAGGGAGTTACAATTTAACGTCCAGACTTTCCTCAAGTTCATCGCAGGACAACGAGGCAAGTCAGTCCGATACAATACTCTATACCTCATATATTTTCATATTTTTCATGCCATAGTTAATAATTAATTAGGTTAATACCATAATTCACTAATTTGACTAAAATCGAGAAGTATTTTTGTACTTTTAACTTTTTAATTTAATAATAAAAAAAATGTAGATAAGTTGTGGGATCAAAGTTATTTTTAAATGTTCCCATGGATGATCAAGCAACCAGGTGATACACGGATACAGTAGGGGTGTAATTTGTACTTGATAAGCTCCCTCAAGTGGGCGAGTGATGATTGTGTGTCCATCGCTACCGTGCCTTTTACAGCGCCATTAATTGTTTTATGACCGTTGTTAAATCAGCTGTAAAGATAACTTCGGTCTGGGGGATGTTTAGATTTCAGGACTTGGCGACAGACTGACAGAAAAACGATTTAACTATTCAATTTGTATATGTTATATGTAAGAATATGTTTTAAACACGCTATTGTAAATTGTATAGTTACAACATATGAGATTGTTTAAATACGGTAGTTTTATGATTTTAATTTACATTTTCTGATAATACATATGTTTTTCCTCGGCAGTAGCTATAAATATTCATCATCATCATCTTCCTCCTTATCCTACTCCAGTAGGGTTAGCACAACAGGCTTTTGTCCTCCAAATAACTGTATCATACGTCATCTCAGTCATCACTCCCTTTTTGATCATGTCACCTTTTACGCAATCCATCCATCTCTTTCTAAGTCTATCTCTACCGGTGTACCCTTCTACACTCATAACTAACATTCTCCTTGTAACATTCTATTCATCTTTCCTCATAACATGCTAACCTTTTACTCCTTACCTTCTCTACCACTGGGGCTACTCTCGAACTTCCTCTAATGTACTTATTTCAACAATAGACATTATCAAATAGATTTTAATTTGGATTAAGCCACAGAACACATACTTATAATATGAATAAGTAAAAAAAAATGTGTAGTAAAATATCATGCACAAATTTACTTGACTTATTAATTTACATGTTAAGATTTAAAAGGTGTTTTTAAAACGTTTAAGTATCGTAATAGATATAAACAAATGGGGCGAAACTAAATAGTAACACACAAGCTGTCCGACATTATGTTCGCTTCGCAGATTTATGCAAGAATCGCCGTTGCCCGCTGCCCGCTGCGCCGGCGCAGCTCAACGCAGAAATAGCGTGGGCGGGGTCGTCATAGATGACAGCCATCCGCGCTGTTTATGACTTCCTCAGCCAATGGCCTCTTGCATACGAGAGTTATCTACTCGATTGTCATCTTACTTGCTATTGGATTAGGATATCATCACTTCCCTAATTTATGACAATATCCAAAAGATTAATAGGTTCCATGGCATCGTTAGTGTCAGAACGCGATTTTAAAAATTAAGTTTTCATCAAAATTGAGTAATTTATGAAAGTAATATGAAATCAAGTCTAAAATAAATTCAATTAGATATGGTAAGAAGAAAGAAAACAATTATTAACGAATTGTGCTTTATTACCCGCGCTAAGCTTTTACGGATTGTATTTCATAAGCTTACATGTTTTACATCCTTCAGTAGTTATATGTCGTGTTATATTTACATTTACATTCAAAACAACTCTTAGCTTGTAATCGGGTAGCTGCGCAGTTCAGTATTGCTGTCGCCACAAAATTTGACACGTGTTAAGAGTTTTTATGAGGCCAGCTGACCTCGCGCGGCAGTCGCGGCAGGTACAACTTTAATGGACTCAATAAATCAAAAGACCCATAACAATCTTACTCATTACATTACACATTTTGTGAATTCTATTTTTAACCGATCGTGTTACTGAAAAGAGTGATAGGTACTTGTATAATCACTTAAGTGAATGTGGAAGTTTATTATTACAAAACTATTTCACTACGTCGTAGTCTTTGACTCCAAAAATCAAACAAAAAAAATGGGACCTGCAAGCACTACATTTCGGATAAAAAAGGATTATCAAAATCGGTCCACTAGCGGCGGAGTTATGCCGTAACACACATAAAAAACATACAGACGATTTGAGTACCTCCTTCTTTTGGGAAGTCGGTCAAAAAGGAGAGAAAATATTTTGATGTCACCATGTGGACCATGGAGATAGAAATTAAGATTTAAGAATGGGGACCACGTAAGAGACAACGAACCATTTGTAGGTTACCCTATGGTCCCAATATTATTATTTACCAAAATCTATTGATTGACGGGGACAATAATTTATCAGGGATTAACTTGGTTGACTATTAGCTGTTGATAAGAAAATAAAAACAAATACGTATGTATTAAAAAAAATTAATAACGTATTACATTACTGTTAAAATTTCCTCCATATATGTTGCGAAGTAGTTACCTACCGGTGCGGCGGTCTCGAAACGTGTGAATCACAACTGTTTGCTCAGCTAGTTTACACGCAAGCTTCTCGCGAACTGCAGGTCTCCATCAGTTAGAGGTGCCTTGAACTCCGAACTGGGACGAGACCTTACTGACTAATGAAGACTAAACATCATCAAATTTTGTTCGTTATCTCGATTATTTGTTGCAATCTTACTTCTTTTTAATATAATAATTCGAAAGTTTAGATGGATGGATGTTTGTTGTAGGTTGTTGCTTAAACTGCTGAACGGATCTCGATGAATTTTGGGACAACTGTAAAACATAGTCTGAAAGAACACATAGGCTAATTCCTTTTGTTTTTTTAATTCCACGAGAAGGGAGTCGCGGGCGAAAGTTAGTCTAAAATAGTTTAGTGAAAGTTATCTTAATAGATACATAAATATCTTTAACACAAGACAATTAACAGTTGAATTCTGGCTGCATTTAAATTTAATGTTGTTTTTGCTTCCGATATTAGAAAACCGTATCTTACGAACATTGCATTTGTAAAAACCACGACAGTTTAAACTTGCATTTTAATTCTTCCCAAATTTCATAATAACAAATAATTTCTGTAAATATACAAGGGCCTTCATCTTCGTCAACGTTAAAATTAATCGTTAAAAAAGTATCGTCAAAAAATTGACAGTGTTACGACATTCCAAATTATTACAAAATGACTTAAACCTATTACGAAACGGAAAGGATTTCTGACAAAAAAGTTTTATAGTCATGCACAAGATGATTTACAACTCTACTTTTAATTTTACAGTCGCTCCGTCTCCCTTACAGCTGTATGAGCTTTCTAGTTATACTACCTAGAGGTAATTACTTTAGTTTTTTTAAATCTTCAGGACATTAAATTGTTTAATCTTTCGTAAGACATTATTATAACTAATTATTAAACAGCTAGCACCGACGTCTATTTTTTTTCCGGTGGCAGCACCGACTAGAGTTTCCCATCGAGGGTCCATCGTATTTAGAACATTTTTGAACGAAAGTTACGTGCTAGGTTCTTTAATATTTGTAGTGCCAGCAGAAATTAAAATTCAAGGCAATAAGGTCGATAACGAATGTAAAATTCTACCATTCCATAATTAGGAAGTACTACTAGTTACAACACATAAATGATATCTGAGATTGTCAAGAGCTGAGATGTTACTAACCAGATGTCGACGTGCGGTGGGTCCCGCTTGCCGCACAACAAAAACTTCGCTCAGTTCAATCATCGATTTAAAACATTTATATATTTATTAACATTGATTATACGGAACTAATAGTGGAGTAAACCTTTTTTGTTGAAGCAGAGCAACATTTACATCACTCGTAACCACTAAGTATTTGAAGAATGCATTTTTCTAGGTCATTTGTTTTGACAAATACAGTAGCTAATACATAATTTTCAGTCAAAAGACAAAACTTGTTACATATCATTTACTATTTTAAATTCTTAGTACATCTAGTTACAAATTTAGGGTTACAAACTCAATTTGTTTTTTAAAGTTTTGGTTGCAAAACTAATTTTGAAATGTACACATATCGTATGTATGTATAGGCAAATTTCTTTTTAAATCAAAACGGGATGAAATCTGATTTACTGTCTGGTCAGTTAGGTAAATAAAAGAAAAATGTAAACCAATAAATTTTAAGTTAATATTATTTCGTTGCGAGAAATCGTTCTCACTAATAAAGAAGGAAATCGACATGGGTTCGCCGAAGCCGTCAGCCGTCAGCCGATTAACTCGTGTCGACTGGCGGTTACCAATCCGTTAGTAATCGATCGACTTTTAGTGGCGTGTCAGCGTTTGAAAAAAAATCAAACATAATTTATTGTCAGCATTGAGATCTCGAGGAAACCCGAACGCGGCACTAGAAAATAAAAAACGTAATAAAATAAGAGATGTTTACGAGCGTAAAATGACGTGAGGCCGCGCCACTTCGCCTTTTTACAAATCTACAGCGGTATACAACTTTTTACTGCATGTGTAAACGCACTCGTAACTTATTTTCTTTATAGTCATCGTTCGATGGCCCGCTTGCTTCGTAATTATCGGGCGCACGCCGAAATTTAAAGCCGTTTGAATGTACCGACGCAGCCAAGCACCCGCTCAATTTTAAGTTACCTACTCTTTGTTTGAACTTTCGATACGTGTTAGGTTTAAATGAAAGCTTACTCGACAATAGCCGGTAAAAGGTTACACAAAAATAAACAACGTTTCATTGACCGTTTATGATTTTAATGAAGCCAAATTTGACTTTCTAGCTTTAATATTGGAAGCAATTTTGTTGTCCACTTGTATTAAATTTAATATGAGTATGTAATGCCTCATGAAATTGCAATATCTCTAATATTAACATTGTATTTTGTTGTATCAGAGGCGGAGGTGCGACGCGCCACGGACACGTGAAACGTCCTATGAACGCATTCATGGTGTTCGCGCAGGCGATGCGGCGTCGCCTCTCCGAGCAGCGGCCCTCTCTGCACAACGCTGAGCTCAGCAAGTCTCTTGGCTCCATGTGGAAGTAAGTTTACATCTACATACTCATTATAGCAGATCGTATATAGGATCTAAATATATCTTAAAGAATCTAAAGAAAAGATCAGGAAGAAAGAGACCTAATGATAGTCCCTTTTATTTCCTACTATTTTCTGATACGTAAAGGGTAGGATGGGAAAGTGGATTTGACGGTGAAGGAATCGCATAAGAATGGGGAAATATCTTCTTTATGTGCGAAGCTTTCTTTATAATGAGGGTTGGCAACGCATTTGCAATCGCGGATGTATATGGGCAGCGATCGCTTTGCTTTCTCGGCGAATTCAGGTGACCGCTCTTTTTTTGCCACCTTTTAATACACACCAAAAAACGAGGAGTAGAGTTGACATGAGTTAGGGTTTAAGTCAACAAGGAAAAAGCATAGTTGTGAAGAAATCTGTACTGAGGGATCTTCCGTATCCATTTAACGACAATGGGAGCGAATTATGTTTCTAAACACACGTTCTGAGTTACAAAGTCAAGTGTTTAGTGATGGTGCTGGCTGGCAAGGGCTGAGAAAGTAGCGGGTCGTTGTGGCGCTGTGTGGCGCTGTGGGGCGCGCGTGCGGCCCCCAGCCGTGCGGCGTGCATCGATTGTTTACTCATTAAAATACCCGCCGCTCGATACCATCTAACTGTCTCTAAAATCGAGATCCATCCGAACCACAATATCATTGACCGATTCGCATATTTTGTAAATGTATAAACTTAGACCAGGTTTAATCAATGATGAATATTTTCGGAATTAGTCATCTATTTCCCGTGACCAAAAATGATGGTACAGATTTGCTTTGATAAGGTTTTATTTATGCTTAAATTGCTTTCAGGTTTCAGTTCGCTTCAGTTGCTAAAATAAAATCGTGTTTTGACTAATAAAGTTTATTCTTTTTTAAAAAAAATAGCGAATGTTTTGTCAACTCAAGGGCAACACACCAAAATTAAAAAATCACTTTAACTAATTGTTCAGCTAGTAAGCACGTATTGTTTGAATGTTTTATTGTAAAGTTTAGTCTAGGTTTGATAAAAGTTTCAATATTTTTAAAACGTTTTCTGCTAACAAACTACTTTTTAAGACATCTAGTAGCTTCACCAAAAGCTGCTTAAAACAATTATTTAAATATCTTACTAAGTACGGGTGGTAAATAATTATTTGGAATAAGCTTTTATCGAATGCAATAGTTATAGGAGTTTCTGGTAATGATTCGTAACTGGAGCGTCGTAAAAGCCGCGGCCACCCGCGAGGCTTGTCGCACGCCCGTCGCGGTCCCAGCGCTCTTCACAGTGTTGTGACTCAAAAGTTATAATACGACCTGCAATATTGTTCCGAGTCATTGAAGAACAATCGAGAAAAAAGGTCATCACACCGCGATTGTAACGGTTAAATGAGTTCTAATTTGATGTTAATTTGGCAATAGACATGGCTGTTTTTATTACAATTCGTAAAATGTGCCTGCGTTTCGCATGGTGATTATAAAAGCTAGAAATCCAAAAACATCATGATCGTGGAGGTTCTGATTTAGTAATCATCTTGTTGCTTTAGATATATTCATATTATATTTATATTATAACATTTTATAAAATAAAAGAATAGTTCAAAGTGATCGAGAATCGTTTGATAGTGTCGGCCGGGACTATATCCAGACGCTGTCTCCTTACGCTGCTAATGTCGCGTGAGCTGCACTCGACTGCCACTTAGCTTACACTCGCCCATTGCACTGCATTGCCAAAAAAAAAACAGCTAGTCAGTCATAAACATATAAGTATGTAAATTTTATTCCTTCTTCCACAGAAGTTTAAGCGAAGAACAAAAACTGCCGTTCGTTAAAGAAGCAGAAAAGTTAAGAGCTCAACATAAAAAGGAGTACCCGGACTACAAATACCAGCCGCGGCGCCGCAAACCTCCTCCCACCGCCTCCTCGGCCGCTAGGCTTAAACGAGAACATTCACCAGAAAGAGAGCAAATCGACTTCTCCCGGATAGACGTCGACGGACCATTGCTGCCCGACGGACCGCCAGATGGCGCTGAATTAGACCAATACTTAAAACCGACAACAATACCAGATTACCACGAAATGCAACCACATTACCCCTCCCATGGGCTGCCATACCACGCCTCCGCTGTCTTCACTCCAGTTCCGTCACATTTGCACCCTCCGTGCACGGACTGGCAACATTATCCGCGTCCTTAAAAATGCCAAGTTTTCCAAAAGTTATAATCTCAAGAACATTTAGTTATAGTTTGACCAACTTATCACTAGTTCAAAATTTGAAACTACAAAATAGCGTCTGCCAATTAGCTGTCTCTATTATTGATGTTGGTAACACCGCTTTCTTTGCAGATGACTTGGTCCGTCTATAACATCTCGTTAACTTTAGTGCGGTAGTAGATATCAGTTTAAAACATGTATAATTGATAACTGCGACTGCTGTGTTAGGTTAGGTTTGTAAATATATATTTATATATGTTTTATTTGATAGTAAAGCGCTACGCCCAACGCGCACGTGCGTTTAATCAAAACTAATGTAAACATTTGCAAAATAGCAACGCATGTAAGTATGCCTACTTTATATTTATAAAAATAATATTTAAATAAAACTCATATGGATAACATTTTGAATGGGCTTAACAAAAGAGAGAGAGACAGAGAGAAAAAAAATCATTGTAAAATAAAATGCCTGTGGATTTTAGATAATTTGCATTAGATCTTTATTATTCGTAAGTATGTAATTATTTTTGAGGGTGTTAGTAATTAAAAAACAACTTAGACTGTTAATTTCATGGTTAAGAAAAGCTAGGTTATAAAACCAGTCCTCATATTTCCAAAGCTTAAATGATACGCAACAGTTAAGTTAAGTAAATTAAAAGTTACATATATTAATACGTTTAAGTTATTATTGTGATTAATTAGTCTTATAAATATAATGTTAATGTTATTTTTTGAATTAAAATCTTTCAAACAAAGTTGAGATTTCCATTATTTTTGCCAAAAAGTATATTATTATAGTATATTTAGGTATCAATAGAATATCAATGTGAAAAATTAGATGAATGGATGGATGGATGTTTGTTAGCGTTTATAGTCTAAACTGATGAATGGATATCGACGAAATTTGGCAAAGATATAGGGGATAGTCTAGAAGCTCACATAGGCTTCTTACTTTTAACACCACGTAGACAAAATAGCGGGCGAAAGCTAGTAATATCAAAAACACATTTGCAATATTCTAGACTAGGTTTCTAGTATATTTTAAAATGTGCAAGAATTTTTTCCCTTTACGCCTAAGTGAAGAATGTTTTATCAAAAAGCAGTTTTGTTAGATTACGAAAGACCTAAAACTATGTGCCAACTATCGAAGCTAAGGTTAATATTAAAATGATAATAATTTCAATAACATGTTTGTTAAAGTTAATCTTTGTAATTTGTGCGATTCTTCGAAATACATGTATTCACGTCGTGGTCGGGATGATAGGGTGCTCGCCCGCCCGCGGCTTCCGGCCCCCGGAACACAAAGACTACCCTTGTTCATATATCTTATCACTCTCACATTTTTCGCGACCGATGCTAATGAGGCCATACCGACTTATGATTATGCGCTTTTAAGATAATATACATCAATGAGGCTGATTTATAAAGTTGGCACGAAGTTCACGGTGGATTCAGATAGCGTAAATAGAGGTCGAAACTCTAGTTTATGTATTTGCTCAATTAATCATTCGATTAACTTCATGTTGTCACGTTTTAAATCTTTCTCAAAGATTATACTAACCTCAACCTTACTTTTATGTAATTTGCTGGCTGTTTCTCGCGACTTCGTCCCCGTGTACTTAAAAAAATAATACAAAATATAGCTCGTGTTATTGCAATATATACAAAAATACAAATCTTTCCTCTTTAATATTTGTTAGTATAGATTAGATTGTGTTAAAATGTATTGTCAAAATATTAACATTAAATATAATAAACGTTACAGTTTATACAATTAAGAGAGTCGGTGGCTCTGAGGTTTAAGTGCTTTACTTGTAATCTACTGGTCCTGGGTTCGAATTCTGTCATGTACCTATTTGAGTTTAGATTTTCGTTTCATTTACCCAAAATTCTCACGGTGAAAGAAAACATCGTGATTAAACCTGCACATTTCGGCGTAGAAATTCAGAGATATATGTTTAAAGTCAGCCAACACGCAGTGGGCCTGCATAGTTGACTAAGGCCTAGTCACCCCTTACTAAGGGTAGGCTCTGGCCCATTAGTGGGGACGTGTAGTGGGTTGATGATTTTATTGAATAAAATAAATATGTTTTTGAAATAACTATTTACACTATTTTGACCCTATAATCTTCCACGAAATAAAAACTGCAACTAACAAATAAATACAATTGACCATAAATCGTCAAACCTAGATATTTAAATCATTATTAGAGATAACAAAAACTATAATATTGAAAAGATGCTGTTATGAATTTGTAATGGTGCATAGTGATGTGGGATATTAAGATTGAGTGCAAATGATGCGCGAGGCGCGTGCGGCGGCGGCTCGGGTTACACACACGCTACATGTGCCTCACTTCTCTGTCTGTGTGTCCGTGTGCCCATGGCTGTGTGTCTGTACCGACAGCAGACGGAAGATATCGCTTAACCATCAGACTTTTTGTAGAAAAACACATAAGATATTAATTACTGAGGCGGAGGTTGCCATGCCCAATTTTACGATCTAATATAAGTCAAAAAATAACGTAAAAATATCGGCTTTTGGCACATATCTACTCTTTACTACTTATAACAAACACGTGATTTCCACAAAATTTTGAATGACCTCTGGCTGTAGATGTCTGCAACGTGCCTAGAATGTTGCAAGGCGTCGCTTACAACTAAACAATAGGGGAGAGGACATACTGAATCAGAATATTTCGCTTAGCTGAATCCCTTCTTACATCCGCGTTACATCATTATCATTTAAGAAAACTTTCATTTTTAAACTACCAAAAGTTTCTTAAGTTTTTTTTTAAATACATGCAATTATAAAAAGAAAATAAGAACGATGGATTATGGTTACGAAAGTGGAAATAAGTCCATGTGACTTTTGCTATTACATATATTCAAAGGCAATATATATTATAGGTATCCAGAAATGGATACTATGGTATGGGATGGACAAAAAGAAAGCTGTTCAAGTGGTGGGCTCTTCGCCGTGTGAAATATCTTCTTCGGTCGCGCTGAGCCAGCAGCGCCTGTAAGCCGACACCACGGCGTCTGGAGAGCATCGTGGGGAAATCAAAACCAAACAATCGTGCGCCGCCAAGTGCCGACATGTGCACAATACATCTGTATCGTCCAGTAATTAATAACGTATGACTTATAAGGAATCAAAGTTCGCTTACAACGTTTGATTAATCTATCTATGTTCTTACAGTTAATTATTTTTATCTGTTAATTTATGTAATCTCTTGCAATCTTTTTACTATAACTACAAAGACTGACATCGATGAAGAATTTAGTATGGTTAAATAATCTTAAAATCTTCATTTGCGTAAGTTACTTGTATAAAAATATAGAAATTAGAAGGGTAGAAAATTTTTAAATCAGCCAAAAACCTTTTTTAAGCCGACTCCAAAAAGAAGGAGGTTCTCAATTTATCGGTACCTTTTTTTTTATAAGGATTCATCATTTATGAGTTATAATGATTATAAAATAAGTGACCTTGTCTTGCTATAAAAACTGTGTAGCCTAACCGCGAAATCGAAAACCCTGGTCTAGGGCTAGGGCCTTTTAATGAACGCCAATGATCAATGAACGCAAAGAAATATTGGTTCCATATTTATCCGCAATATGGCGAGGATTTTTATGTTCCTGTTCAAGCTACATACTTACCGATTCGGTGCAGAACATTTTATTTTTAAAGTAAACTAAAGGCAAAAAAGCAAAATTAATATCGTAATAAAAGTAAATGCATACTTATAACATTTACAAAAAATAGCTTTAAGTCACGAACTTCTTCTTGGCAGAACAACAAAAACGTCAAACTTTTAACGTGAATAAAAAAAAGCAAAAGCAGCTGTCAAATTAAACAATTTGTTATCACTCACACTCATTCTCAAGTGATTAAAATCTTTATATTTATTTCTTGGAAATGATTTCAACAAGTTATTCATGAGGTGTGTGTTTAAATTTTAGTATTAATGGCAAATTTACCGAATGGCTGGCTTCAGCTGGTAAGTACTGAGTGTTATTGAGATTCAATTAAGAGCAAGTACTTCGACAGTGTTTGTGTGATTATTGACATCCTTAAGTTGTAATTGAACACAATTGTTTAATTTACAATAGCTGTAAAGGGAAAGTTTAGTTACAACTACAACAAGCATAGAACAAATTCCAATTTCGTAAATTACTTTTAAAACAAAAACAGCAAAGTTAGTTTGAATAGTAAGAGGGATGCATGATTTTTACAGGTACCTCTCTGAAGGCTTCCAAGTGATTATTGAGAAGTCGAAAGAAGATAAATGTTCATTAAATGATGTACAGTTACGTTTCCTTTGCCCTGATGATTTAGAAGAAGTAAGTGTTGAATTATAAATGTCATTTTACTATTAATGTTTTTGGACTTGTAGATATTTGTAGATTTTAATACACTTTTAATAGAAATTCTAAAACTGTTTCAATATTTATTTTAGGTTAGAGCACTATGCAGAGATTGGTTCCCAATAGAATACCCACAGTCATGGTACGAAGACATAACATCCTCTGAGAGATTCTTTGCCCTCGCTGCGGTATACAAAACACAAATTATAGGGCTCATTGTTGCTGAAATCAAACCATATTTAAAATTAAATGCAGAGGACAGAGGAATATTATCAAGATGGTTTGCATCAAAAGACACACTTGTAGCTTATATACTGTCATTAGGTAAGAATTCTTTTTTCTGATTTAAAATATCTCTGATTCTAACAATGTAGTATTTTTAAATCACTACATAGGTAAAAAACCCTATGGGTTATGAAGCAGTTTCTTTTAATATTTGGAGAAATTCAAGAGAAACAAAAGTTTCTCTCAAATTATCAACTATATTATACATGTAAAAACATGTATAATATAGTTGATAATTTGAGAGGTTTCTATGTGATGTCATAAATAAACACAGATTTGAATCAGCATACTAGAGCTATGATGGTGCGGGTTGCTATTAAACCTATGCCACATTCAATTCTGAAACTTCCCTGATAAGTCCACTATCATATATATTGTATTACCAAAGAACATGTAAAAAAAAACTTGTTATTTAAACATTACACTTTACTATGATTGGAGAAAAATCTTGTTTACCATTAATATTCTAATATCTTGTAATTAAATGAATGTTTGTCTTCTCCTATAAGTGATTTGTTGGAAAATAATCATGTGGCTATTGATATTCCAGGTGTTGTCCGATCATTCAGACGTTCTGGAGTCGCAACAATGCTATTGGATGTATTGATCAATCACTTATCGGGACCAGTTGTTCAGCTTCCTCATGAACATAGAGTCAAGGCGATATTCCTTCACGTACTCACCACAAACAATGAGGCTATACATTTCTATGAAAAGAGAAGGTATGTTACACTTTTTTTTAATTTATGTAGTGTTTTAGATTGTAATTTGTTAATGGTATTTTCAGATTTCGATTACATTCATTTCTACCTTACTACTATTCTATAAAAGGCCGTTGTAAGGATGGATTCACATATGTATATTATGTGAATGGAGGGCACGCTCCTTGGGGGTTATATGACTATGTGAAATATGTGGCCCGTGCTGCATGGAGCGGAGGTGGGCTTTACCCTTGGATATGGGGTAAGCTTCGCACAGCCCTCACCATAGCGTGGCACAGATAGTCAATTTAATACTCCTTTGTGAATTATATACTCTACACTAACATGCTAATGTTAATCTTAAGTCTACTACTAAGAATATTTGGCAAGAATTCAAAACCATTCCCTACCACCAAATATTGGGTTTTAAAAAAATTATATCGTCCAATATAAATAATTAATTGGCAAATATCAAATGACAAATATATTTCCCTTTTTGTTTAATTACCTTTCAGTACCATTTCATTAAACTTTTTTTATTTTAAATGTTGCTAATTATTTATTTTTTATAAAAATTAAATAATGATAATCTGGGTTGTAAAGTTTGAAGAAAACATCTTATGACAACAGTGTGCATTAGAATTGTAAGAAAGCGGTTTTAACTATTCATGTGTCTTTTACGGTCACACTTATATGGAAAAAAATTGAAATTATTACACCAGTATACATATAACACATGTTTTGGTGCATTTAGTATACATATTAGATATACATAAAAATTTAATACAGAAATATAACAATTTACATTCTAGTCCTAAGCTCAAATTCGCACGGGCGCTTTTTTAACGCGCGGTAAAAAAACTTTGTGGTTTAAGATATTTATTTCTCTAAGAATATACAATTCACTTAATGAGAAACATTTTTTTTTACATTTACAATTTACAGGTAACTTTGACATGTAAAAACTGCGTTTCCAGGTATCTGTTCACATAATATAAAACTTCATGAATCAAAAGTGATTTTGTAGCGCTAGGGCGTTAAAAAAACGCTCGTGCAAATGAGGGCAAAGACACCATTGAAATAGTATGGGTTTGCTAGGCTTATGGAAATTTTGATATTTTTTTTTTGTCGACCAAATGTTTATGGTGCAACTGTTATAAAAAAACATGTCATGGAAATGTATGTATTTTTGCTTGCACTGCTAAAGTCGAAATTATACCAAGTCTAATTATTTAAAATAATGTCATAGTGCAGGCTTCATTACAAAAAGGAAAAAACTTTTGTTATTTATTTAAGTGCAAAGAATACTGTCGTTTATATTTGATTTTTCATAAAATTAATCCAGTGTTTTGTAATACCTAAGGCATTGTAGACACATAAACTTTGTTTTTTACTAATGTAGAAGATTAAGGCAAATCCGATCAATTTTTAACAGTTTGAAATATAATATAATTGCAAGCTATTATGTAATATAATTGTTTTTAATAGAATTTCTTATATATTTTGTTATTATAAAATGATTCATAAATTTTATTATATTATGCCTAATGCAAATGATAAACAAAATTGATGTGCATCACATTTTGTAAATTTTGTAATTTTTATACCGAAATTGCATAAATCTTGCATCAATGTAGTAAAGAAATAAGGATGATAATTTGAAACTACCTACACTGCCATTAACATCGTCCACAACACAAGCAATGGCTTACATTTGAACTTTTTGTAAAATGAAATAGAAACTTAAATCTCCGTTTCACTAGACTTTATTAAGTCTTTGTACAGTAGGCGTCACTGGCGTTATTCCATTTACCATAAAAGTGCCTTTTTATAAATAACCAAATGCGGTGCTATTGATGTTTTGAATAAATCGGTTACCTGCATACATCTTTGTGAGTTACGCTGTTACATTTACAGACCATTATCGTTTAAACACGTGCAATATGTTCGATTATCGCTTTATAGTTGGAACACCGCCAGCGAACCTCACTGTACTTAAGTTGTACCCAGTCTTGCTGTTTGACTTTTTCACATTATCTTAATATTTTGTTTTCCATTGCTCTTTTATATCTTTAAATTAATTAGACATTAATTTTGGTAAAATCTAACTTATGTGTCAAAATTTATTGTCTTTTCATACCGATTTAAGATGGGATGATGGGGAATAATACATTATGGGCGATAGGTTTCCCCATAGGTTCGTTTCATCTCTTTAAATGGTTTTCACGTATGATAACACCAAACATTGTTATACTATGTATATCAAATAAGAATTAAATATAGAATTATTCCAATAATAATAATGCATTGGCATTTACCATTATTGTGTACTTTTACAAATTAGGCACATTTTACACCAATATACAGAAGGGAAATTACAGAATGTACTTTATACAGTGCCATGGGTTTATGCCAAGAAATTAAAAGTAAGGAGCCTGCGTGTTCAAATATACGGTAAATATTAAAGTAAACAGTAATATAATTGATATTGATAAGTGAAATTTCTTTTAACAATAGTTTGAATTAAACCGCGTCATTATAATCGACATAGTAGGTCCGTTTTAATAACTGCTAAAAATGATATATGTAGACTTATCACAAATATAAAAGCCCTCGGTAAAATATGAAACAAATTCCTCTGCGCATATTGGAACTTGATGTAAGAAGCCGATTGTAGCGCCACCAGGATACGATTTTTATATTCATGGAAACGGAAAATTTATTTTATACGAACTTATCTGACACAGTCATATATTTCACTCAGCTAATGAGTTATTTTCCTAGATTCTTGTCGTATTGTAGCTTTCCTGTACCTAACAATATGATAAAATTTCTGAGATAACAGCGCTGCTCTTACCGGACCAGAATTTGTTCCATTTTAATTTTGTTGAAGTTGTTTGGAAATTTCTCAGTTTTAATTAATATTGTAACGTTGTGAAACGGGCCTATTATGTGCCAGGTATATCTTTAACATAAAACTGTATATACACAGTTATGTATTGTAGGTTGTTTTTTGTTAAACAGAAATAACAATTGTACATATAAAATAAAAGAAGTTATTAATTTTGACTTACTGTAAACCAAAGCTTTCATTAAAATACTTTCTTATTTCGATTTTTATTAAAGTATTAACTAAATTATTATTTATTTAGACTAGTTTATTACTATTAGTATTATTTTATGGACCATGAGTTATTTTTAATATTGTGATATTTTATGAAACGGTAATATTTTTTTCACCAAAATAGTTTGTTCTAAATTCAGAAGTGTTCACATGTGACGTCAAATGTAGCCATCATTAACATCACGAATGTTTTATAGCTGCACGTTCCTAAGTTTTTTGAACGTATTTATATTTATTTATAATATAAACATTTAGTATTACGGAAAAGCATAAGCTTCCAAATAAATATCATTGTTGACAATTTTTGTGTTGTGTTTTATTTTGTAATTGTTTACCTGATGCCCAATAAAGGTACAACATAGTTGAAACCCGGTTTAGTGATTTATCGACTTCACAATAATATAATATTTCGTACTCAGGAACGCGTCGCCGACTTTTTGTTCCATTGCTATCACTAGTTGCAGACTGTTGAGGTCGTCGGTACAAAAGTTACCGCAAATCTTGTAAATTCTGTAGTAACCGAATATCTTTTTGCTCTATAGATGTTTTTGTTGAGTTAGTCAATAAACAAGAGGGTCTATGCATTTTCATCTATACTTTATTGTTGACACCGAGGTTCAAAAGTAAGTAAGTTTAAGAAAAGATGCTAATGATATTCGACTTTGTTTATAATGTATATTTTTGGACAAAGTAAACCAAATTTTGTTTTATTGTGTGTGGAGTAAATTACCATCGTCTAGGTCCGTGTATGCAGATCCTTACCATGTACATTATTTCCTTAAAAATAATTTGAACTAAATAAAAGGTAAAATAAAAAAAAAACTGCAAACAATTTCAGAAAATCTTTAATTTTAATAATTGCTTTTTCTTTTCATCAACTATGCTGTACAGACTACGTCGCTTAAATTAGAATTAGCAATTAATAATTGCACGTAAAAAAACTTAACAAATAGGTACTTTTAAGTTTTCGATTGGAATGAACGATTATTACATTAAGTAATATTTTTTTTACAATATATAATATATAACTCTACAAAATGAAAATCGTCTATATTCAACAAGCAGTCACAATCGCCCAATGATATGTAAAAATTATTTTTATCTTTTTGTATTTATTATTGCGCACTAATTGTTATACGTGTTTAGTTTAGAACATGTTAAATCTAATGTTTCCGAGTGGAAGGGATGGTTCTTCCTGCGGGAGATGAGAGGAGTTGGGAGATCGCGGGAGTCGGTAGAGGTCGCGTCATGCGCCAGCCTATGTCACCAGGTTACTTCTCTCTGTCGCGCCAGTCTTGTGGTTTTGACTCTTGAAGTCTTTTAAACGAATCGGTGACGATTCGCTACCCGAATCGCCCTGGAAATAGGAATATTAGAAATAGAATAAATAAACTCATCAATTGAAAAATAAGAAATGGAATTTAATTGCTCTCTTGAAGAGTTCGCTTTACACAAAAAATCGTAATGGAGCTGAAAGCTTTAAGCATTTATTTGTCTATCTTAATATTCCTGAAGTCGGGAAACTTGTTTTTTTTTTAATATCTACTGAATTGAGCGTACATTAGCACCGAGCGAAGTAGTCTCTTGTAGCAGCAGCTCGCTGTCCGTGCC